GGCACAGCTGGCATGTGACCTGAGGAGCGGGGAGGAGCTTCCATGGTTGAATGGAAGCAGATGGTGGGGTTAGGGTTAGGAGTGAGAGCTTCTCTGGGATTTTTTTGTTTTGGTTCTTTGGTTGGTTGGTTGGTTGAATGGTTGGTTGATTGGCTGGTTGGCTGGCTGGCTAGCTGGCTTTTTTGGAGACACAGTCTTATTGTGCAGTTCAGGCTGACCTTAAACTCGTGATGTAGACCAGACTGGCCTCAACCTAACAGTGATCCTCCTGCATCAGCCTTCTTGCACCACCATGCCCAGCTTGTGAGAGCCTCTCTGGAGTGTGCTTTTGTTCTTCTGACTGTGGCCTTGAACAGGGCCCTGGCACCTCATGCAGGAGGCTGCAGTCTGGAGTTGAAGGAGAGCTTGGTCGGGTGCCTGCCTCAAGCTCTTCTTCTCCCACTCAGGGTATTTGGCTCTCAGAATCTGACCACAGTGAAACTGAAAGGTGTGGGCGACAGCTTCAAGAAGTATCCCGACTACGAGTCTAAGGGCATTAAGGCACACTTCAATCTGGACGAGAGTGGCGTGCTCAGTCTGGACAGGGTGAGAACAACAGGAGATCTGAGTACAGGCTGGGGCCTGGGCTCTGTCAGCCTTTACCAAAGTGGCTTCAGGACCGTAAAGAAAGGTCTAGGAATCTGGTCCATCTTGGCTTCCTAAAAGGTAACCAAAAAGGTGATGTAGGCTTCTTTAAGCCTGTAAATGCTTATAGGCACTGTAACTTGGTTACTGAGAACTACAGAATGATTGAGAAGCCCATTTTTTCTGGATTTAGTATCTCCTAGCATATACTGTGGAAAAAGATGGCGTGTAGTGTTAGCGAGTAGCTTCATGGATGGCTGTAAGCGGGGAAAGGAGCTGTGGTCCTGTCTTCCAAGGGCACACTGTCAGAGTAGGTGACCATCCACAATCCTTAAGGAAAGGCAGGAGAGCTGGGTGTGGTGGCACACATCAGTAATCCCAGCATTTGGGAGGCTGAGTGAGGTAGGACGATTGAGAGAGTTCAAGAATATCCTGAATTGCATAGCAAAACCTTGTTTCAAAAAGAAGAAAAGGGGGGCTGGTGAGATGGCTCAGTGGTCTAAAGCACCTACTTAGAACAAGCTGAGCAAAGCACAGGGACCGCGGTTCAATCCCCCAGCACCACATGCCAGCCAGCCCCACCCCCTGGTGGGCTGAGCTGGCCACACACACATATACACATAAATAAAATAAATGAAAAATTAAAAAAAAAAAGAGAATTTAAAAAAATTAAAAAAAAAAAAAAAAAAAAAAAAAAAAGAAGAAGAAAAGGCAGGAGAGGAACTGGGCTTGCATAGCTGCAAGTCTGATAGTGCATAATCAGGCACTCACTGTGGCAGGTCTTTCTGGAGAAACGAGATTGGTCTCATACTCAGTGATCCTCCTGCTTCAGCCTCCCAAGTGCAGGGCTTGCCTGGCTAGCATGTGCCTTTCTTCATTTCTAACCTGTTTTCAGGTGGAGTCTGTATTTGAGACGCTGGTGGAAGACAGCCCAGAGGAAGAATCCACTCTCACCAGTAAGATGAGTGTGTGCCCTGTGTGTGGGTGGGGTACGAGAGCACCTGCCGGTGCGCTCTGGGAGAGATGGACAGGGCGTGGCCCTTGGGTCGGAGCTGGAACCACTGGCTAGTCAATTTCCGCACTTCCAGAGCTTGGCAATACCATTTCCAGCCTGTTTGGTGGTGGCACCACAGCAGATACCAAAGAGAACGGGACAGATGCTGTTCAGGTGGGTGAGCTCACAGTGGACAGCAGCATGGCCAGGGCGTGGCGGCAGGGGCAGGGGGCAGCCCTGCTGATGCGACGCAGTGGACCTCCTTTGCCTCACCCTTCGCTATGTTACCACGCCCACCACCCTCACCTCTGGCCATTCCCTGTGCCAGAGCCTGCGGCCTTTCCCCTGGTCTGCATTTCTCTCAGCTGCCTGTGGCTCCCCACAGGCTGTAACCTGAGCATTGATCCCCTCCTAGAGAGCAGAGGAGCTGGTGTGGCTGTCGCCTGGCCCAGCTCTAGCTCTGCTGCTTCTGGCCATCCAGAGACCTTGATTGTTCTGCAGGAAGAAGAGGAGGGCCCTGCTGAAGGAGGCAGGGATGAACCTGCAGAGCAGGTGGAAGCTGAAGTCCCAGTGGAGGGATCCCCTCAGCCCCCACCCACAGAGCCCAAGGGAGATGCAGCCCCTGAGGGGGAAAAGCCCTCCGAAAAGGACAATGGGGGCAAGTCTGAGGCCCAGGTGAGCTGTGGGGAGAGGGAGACTGGTGGACCCAGGGCCTGAGGTGGGGACGGAGGCCTGCTTCATTCTTTCCTCCATGGAGGAAGCGAAGGCTCTTCCTGATCTTCCAACTCTTCCCACCCAGATGCCCAGTGAGAAGGAGGATTTGGGTCCTAAAGGTGCCCCTCCATCCGAAGAAGAAAAAAAGCAGAAGCCTGCCCGGAAACAGAGGATGGTGGAAGAGATTGGGGTGGAGCTGGTTGTTCTGGACCTGGCTGACTTGCCAGAGGATGAACTGGCTCGCTCAGTGCAAAAGTAAGGAGAGAGAGAGTGAGAGAGGCCTGCACCTTGGAAAGCTTGTGTCCTGACCTGCCCTCTTCCTCTCCCTACCTCTCCCTCCTTCTGCAGACTTGAGGACTGGACCCTTCGAGACCTAGAGAAACAGGAACGAGAGAAAGCTGCCAATAGCTTGGAAGCTTTTATCTTTGAAACCCAGGTTGGCAGGCTGGGGCAGTGCCTTCGGGCCCTGGAACTTGGGCTTGAGGATGTGTGCTGAGCCCTGCCCTTGGGCCTATTGCAAGTGTTCATTTGTGTGTATGTGTCTCCCTGCCCCACCCTAGGACAAGTTATACCAGCCAGAGTATCAGGAAGTGTCCACAGAAAAGGAACGTGAAGAGATTGCTGGGAAACTCAGCGCTGCATCTACCTGGCTGGAAGATGAGGGTTTTGCGGCCACCACTGTGGTGAGGCACTTCCCAGGACATGATGGGTGGGATGGGAACTCTTTGCCCCCCTCGTCCAGGTTCTGAAAGAGAAGAGCTGGGGCTGAGGCCATAAGTATCTCAGGGCTGGGGAAGTAGCTCAGTAATAGAGAGTTCACCTAGAATGCCTGAAGCCCTGGGCTCAATCTCTGGCACTGCAAAAAACAGGGAGGTATAGGCAGGTGCAGTGGTGGGCATCATAGCCCCAGCTATCAAGAAACTGGGATAGGAAGACCACGTGCACAAGTTGAGGCTATCCTGAGCAACATAGACCATCTCAGGAGAAAACAGGTGGGCTTTGTGGGAATGTAGTTCAATGTAGAGCTTACCTAGCAGGAGAATCCCTGGGTTTGATCCCCAGCATCTAGCCAGATATGGGTGAGCATGCCTATAAATCCGGCACTTGAAGGCTAGGGCGGGAAGGTTGCTGTAAGTTCAAGGTCAGCCTGAACTACATAGTGAGACCCCATCTCAAAAAAAAAAAAAAATCCCTGCACCAAAAACAAAATAGGTAGAGGACTGACTCCTAAGGGTCCTGCCATCTTTTCCACCCCTGTGCTCACCCTCATGTCTGTAGATGTTGAAGGATAAGCTGGCTGAGCTGAAGAAGCTGTGCCTAGGAATGTTTTTTCGGGTAGAAGAACGCAAGAAGTGGCCTGAACGGCTGTCTGCCCTTGACAATCTCCTCAACCATTCCAGCATATTCCTCAAGTGAGTGTCTGTGCTGTTTGTTTTCTGTCCGGTGCTGCCATGGCCACAACTCCCCATCGCCCCACCCTGGCCACCTCTGCCTGCCAGGCTGATCTCCTCTCTGGCTTCCAGGGGTGCCCGACTTCTCCCAGAGATGGACCAGATCTTCACTGAGGTGGAGATGACAACGTTAGAGAAAGTCATCAATGAGACCTGGGTAATCACTTTGTGAATATGTGACTGGACACTTAGTTGGCACCAGGAGGCCAGTGGCCAGGGGTGACAGGTTTCTGGGCTGTGGAAGAGACTGAGGCTAGTATGATTTCATCTGGGACAGACACCTGCTTTTTCTAGGAGTCTCTCTGAGCCTGTGCTGGTCTCTTCCACAGTCCTGGAAGAATGCAACTGTAGCTGAGCAGGCCAAGCTTCCTGCCACAGAGAAGCCTGTGTTGCTCTCAAAAGACATTGAGGCTAAGATGATGGCACTAGACCGTGAGGTACAGTATCTGCTCAATAAGGCCAAGTTTGCCAAGCCTCGGCCCCGGCCCAAGGACAAGAATGGTACCCGGACAGAGCCTCCCGTCAATGCCAGTGCAAACAACCAGGAGGAGAAGGTCATTCCACCAGCAGGTGAGGGCAGGGGCTCAGCACAAGTGGCAGCGGGCAAAAAGAAGCCCACATTTCTCTCCTGGGGTGACCTCTTACTCCTGGTTTCCCTCTAGGCCAGGCTGAAGATGCAAAGCCCATTTCAGAGCCCGAGAAAGTAGAGACTGGTGAGTTGGGGTGACCAGAGGTGGGAATGGGGATGTTGTGTCGGCCTGGGTGGGGCTCCACATAGCAGGCATGGAGGCCTGTTCCAGATGGCCCTTGATGTCTGGGTGGCCATTACTTAAAAAAAGAAATTTGTGTTTCAGGGCTGGGAATTTGGCTCAGTAGTAGGGTGCTTGCCTAGCAAGCTGGAAACCCTGGGTTCGGTTCTCAGCACCAAAAACAAAAAAATAAACCTCCCCCCCAAAAAAAATGTTTCTTAGGGCTCAGTGGCACAAATGTTTGCTCAGCAAGCACAAGGTCCTGAATTCAATTCCTAATGCCAAGTAGAAAAAAAAAATTTTAAATTAGGCATACAAGCCAGGTATGGTGATGCATGCCTGTAATCTCAGCACTTGGGAGGCTGAGGAAGAAGGATCATTGTCAGTTGACCAGCTTGTGCTACAAATAGAGCTGAGACCTGCCTGAACTGTATAGCACAATCCTGTCTCAAGGGCCAGCAAGATAGCTTAGTGGACTAAGCACCTGCTTAGGCAAGCGCAGGGACCAGGGTTCAATCCCTGGGCACCACATTCAGTGCCAGCCCTGCCCCTGGGCACACAGCTGGCTGCAGAGACCAAGTATGGTGGTGCACACCTGTAATCCCAGTGCTGGGAAGGCTGAAACCAGGAGGGTCACTACCAGTCCAAGCTGTTAGTGAGACCCTGTACCCAAAAAAAAAGTCGTCTGAAAAAAACAAAAATAAACAGACCTACTGTATCCACACATCCTAAAGTACTTAATTAGCTGGCTTTTTACAGAATAGTTTGCTGCCCTTCTATTAAGCTCTAGTGACTAAACTACTTTTTCCACAATGCAGGGTCTGAAACAGCAGACACTGAGACCCTGGAGTTAGGAGGGCCAGAAGCAGGTAAGGACGGGGCGGGGGTGCTGAGCAGTCACTGGACCTCATGCAGAGAACCAGGGCTGCTTCCTTCTGACCTGGTGTCCCAAACTCCCAGCAGAACCTGAGCAGGAGGAGCAGCCAACAGGACAGAGGCGGCCTTTGAAGAACGATGAGCTATAACCTCACCTCCGTCTCCCTTCCTCCCAGCCCCTTCTTTTGCCACCACTATTTATTACACATCACGTGGGGGCTTGACTTCCTGCTCTCACTGGAAATGACATGTGGGGAAGGGGTGGCGCCACTCACCAGGTTCTTCTGGAATAGCCCTGTGGTTAAAACCTGAATATGTCTGGACCCCATCCCACTCTCACTCCTGGGTCCTCTACCCATCCGGTCTGCCTTGGGGGAGAATCACTAATATGTCTTAATTCCTTGCTGATGGAGACCTGGTAGCGGGAAGGCGTCTGGATTACAGGAGAGCATCCTTCCCCCTCCTTCCCTCCTTCCCTCCCCGCCTTGTAGTGGCATCTGCTTTGGGCTAGTCTGCCGAGCACCTGTCACCAGGCTTTGTTTCCGAGTGCCTGTCTCTGCTCATTTCCCCCCACCAAAGTGTTCTCTTCCCCTGAACTCCCTTGCCCACCCACTTTCTCTTCATTTGCTTCCCTGCTTCCTGGCACACACTGGGTTCCTCTTTCCCCCTTGCCCAAAGCGTTCCCGGTGGATTGGCTGGAGTCAGTTTGAAGTGTTCCCACTGCACGTGAGTCTTGGTGGCCAGAGCAGGCAGGAACAGCATCAGTGGGAAGCTGCTGTATGGGGAGGAAGCTGGGCAAAAGCGCTGAAGCTCCCGTCTGGGGGCACTTGGGCCCGAGAAAACCAGTAGAATGATGGGTGCAGGTGCAGTGTCCTTCCCAGGAGCCAGGTACTCCAGGTGGCAGTGACTGACTGTCCCTCCTGCTGTCCTTCCCCTTCCGGGTGGAGCCTTTCCCTTGCTCCTCTCCTTGGGCTGACCAAAATGTGCTTTCTACTGTGAGGCCCCTATCCCAAGACCCCTGGGGGATGGAGAGACCTTGGTGTGAATGTAAAGGTGCCACAGAGAGGCTGTGGGTACAGGAAGAGGCTCAGGGCTAGCCTGCCTGCCGTGCATTGCTCTGCTGGAGCGGGGGCCCTTCCCCACTCTGCTGTGGCCTAGGGGGCCTGTCCTCCAGTACTCCGTCTGTAGTGGCAGATGGGGCTGGCTCACAGCTCCAGGACGAGGCAAACCTGGTTGTCATTCATTTTGTCCCCACCCCTACCATCCTTTTTTTTCTTTTGCCACATTGGCAGCAAGGGACCTAAGTCCCATCTCTTCCCCTACCCTCGTTTGAGTTCTTTCATTAGCAATTGAAGCTGGATAGACAGGTTTAAATCAAATTGTACTTTGCTCCATTGTTAATTGAGAAACTGTTTCAATAAAATATTCTTTTCTACAATTTGTGCTTTTGACTTCTTAAAATATATTTTCTTTCTTTCTTTCTTTCTTTTTTTTTGTGGAACTGGCTTGCCAGGCAAGCGCTTATTCTACTGAGCTATCTCCCTGGCCCACATTTTCTTTTAAATGTATTTATTTGGTATACAGGGTCTTGCTATGCAGCTTGGACCCAGCGATACATATTTTCTAAACTCACTTTGTAGCCCAAGGCTGGCCTCAGTGAGCCTCCTACCTCAGCCTTCCAAGTGCTGGAATTGTAGGGGTATGCCACCATCCCTAGCCCATCAGCTTGCTTGCTTGCTTGCTTATTTATTTATTTATTTATTTATGGCAGAACCAGGGATTGAACTCAGGCCCTTGTGCTTGCCAGGCAAGCACTTATTCTACTGAGCCATCTCCCCAGTCCCCCCCACCCCCATCAGCATATTTAGTATAGAAGGTTGGGTAGAAGTTTGTATGATACCACTGGACTGAGTATTGCATGCCTGTAATCCCAGCACTTGAGCCGAGGCAGGAGGATTGAGGCAAGTCTGGGGTCAGGCTACACTACACTTTCTAAAAAAAAAAAAAAATGTTTATAATAAAATTATGGAAGACCGGGGAGGTGGCTCAGCAGAATAAGCACTTGCCTGGCAAGTACAAGGACCTGAGTTCAATCCCCAGTTCCACAAAAAAAAAAAAATCAAAAAGGTATTTTGGGCTGGAGAGATGGCTCAGTGGTCTAAAGCACCTACTTACAACAAGCTTAGCAAAGCATCAGGGACCGCGGTTCGATCCCCCAGCACCACATGCCAGCCAGCCCTGCCCCCTGGTGGGCTGAGCT